GGAATTTTGTTCCTGTTTTTTGCCTTCCCAAGGCTTCAGGAAAGCCTTGGGAGGACGAAAAACAGGCCCAATGGGCAAACTGGAATTTTGTTCCTGTTTTTTGCCTTCCCAAGGCTTCAGGAAAGCCTTGGGAGGACGAAAAACAGGCCCAATGGGCAAACTGGAATTTTGTTCCTGTTTTTTGCCTTCCCAAGGCTTCAGGAAAGCCTCTGCGTGGTGGGAGGTTCACACACATATGTGCAGGTGGGGGGTCCGCACATGTGCAGGTGGGGGGCACGTGCGCGTGCACAATAGCACATGCACGCACAGTTTTGGTACACCTTTAGAAAAAGATTAGCCATCACTGCCTTAGGTTATGGGTGATACGCACATGTGTGTTTTTAAATTCACATGTACTATGTTTACCCAAGTATACATTGCTTTCACAAAGTAGAAATAAAATGCAATTTCATTAGAAGTTTAAATAAGGTTTTCACCATAAAATTAAAAAAAAAAAACTTTGGATTTCATAACTGAGAAAGATCAGCATCCTCCATGAATGGTACATCAGATAAACTGATCTCATACTATACCTGTCTTTATAAGTTAATATTAATGCTTGCGACATTTAAAAACTTGATTAATTCTCCCATACAAATATTTATTTCATATGAAAATAAGAACGTGATTCAAGAAAAGATTCAGTTTTGCCAAGAGAATGTTTAAATGTGATTTCTATATTTCTGAAAGGATGAATTATAATGAAAGCTAAATGGCCATCCATACCCCTCAGGATAGTGTGTTATACCTCAATAAGGTTCCTATCACTTGTAACCATCATTTACTGTCTCACTATAACTCAAGAGAATAAAGAGGATTGAATAGTAATAAATTTCAAAAATACATTTAGCTTCCATATAGACTCAAATCTCTGGTGAAAGCAATAGACTTTCTATTATTATTACGGTTAGATTATGACTATTTACCTTTCAGAGCTTCTGGGTCTCCCAGAATCCTGTTAAGCATTTCTTTAGGAATCTTCTCAAAAGCTTCATTGGTTGGCGCTAATAATGTAAATTGACCTTCATTGTCTAAAAGATTATTGAGACCAGCCGCTGCCACAGCAGCCTTTAAGTAAATGGAAAAGAAAGAGAATTGGTTATGTTACAGTAAGTCTACAGGTAATAAGATTGCCGATTATATACATTTTCAAGAAGGTGGTCTCAGTTTCCATTGGTGCAAGGAAATGACTGAGATCATTTGAGATGAACTTACCCTAAGAGTTTCAAGACTTTCTTCAATCTCTACAAATTGCAGGATACTGTTGGAAGTTGTAGAAATGACTTTGTCTATCAGATGGACTACTCCATTGGTAGCATGATGGTCAGCCTTCAGTAATCTAGCACAGTTCACAGTCACAATCTGGAATGAGCAGGACAGGAATAAATGGAAACAAATATATTATTGGAATTAAATGCCTCGGTTGATTTGAAGGATGACACAACACAGGAGGGGTATTGTTAAGAGAGAATGCATCTAGTGATAGCTTGTGTAGATCTGACAGAATATTTTGAAGAATCCTATAGATTTTACAAATAGCTATTTTAAAATGAATAATACTGTTACCTTCCCCCCAAAGGTGGTCCCTATTTTTCTACTTGCATTTTTTACATGCTTTCNTTTCAAAATATGCTGTGAGGAAGCCACATTTTTTTAGGAAAAATGACGAAGGGTCTCCAAAAGTTACAGTGAAACAAAAAAAAAAGGAAGTGCAGTTAAGTTTCCTCTCTTGAGAAAGAGGTTTGATATACATTTGTTCCTGGTTGTATTCTGCTGATCAGTGCTACATTGTTTGAAAAAGCTTCCCAGTGAAAAGGAAAGAGAAATATAAGTAGCTCTTCTTTTCTGAATAAGGAACAGAATATGTCTTACTACAGATAAATTATTGGACGTGGAATAGGAAGATTGATATCAAAATCCTTCCTCTGCTACAAAATCCCCAGATGAAACCAATCTTTGAGAACTGTTCAAAAGATAAACAAGGAATATCTTTATATATGTTGCCAAGAGTTATTTGGGAGAAAGTTGTAATCTGCAGGCTGCAGACATATTAGCATGAAATATAATAGTGATCTCTCAGTTGGGTACTGTATATGTTTAAAAATGTATGACTTAAATATCAAACTAGCAGTAATTATCAAAGAGAAACATACATTGCGGTACACAAATACTCTCAGTTCTTTGCCACCCAAAGTTTCTAGCTTCTGCCCATGGAAAAGGTATTTAGAAGAAAGCTGCTCTTTGATTATATGATTTTGGAGCAAATTTCTGTTTGGTGAAGGACTGTGATCTGCAGAAAAAAAAATATAAAGCCATTGTCCATACATTCAGATCAGCGCACAGTCAATTGCTTTCATTTTAAAATACATCCAGACAGAAGCATCGGTAGGAGATGACAAATGGGGCAAATTATAAAAGCCGTGCTGCAATGCAAGCTCTGCCCTTTTACACATGCATCGAGACTTTGCACACACATATCAAAGGTCATATGTTGTGACATTGCAATAGTGCTTTCATCATTTTGACCAATCCTGTGGATGCCTCTGCATGGAAAGGTCATAGAAATAAAATCAGCATTTCCCCCATATTCCCCCTCCCTTCTCTGCGATATTCTAAGCAATGACCAACAACTGCATTTTTCAATCTGTTTACAGCAGAAATCTCACAATTTTCCATCTACTCCTCCCCACCCACTTTCAGTTCCTCCTATGTTGTTACCAGACAGATATTCTTAAAAAAAAGAAAGAAAAAATCAATCCGGGTTTTGGCAGGCATGGTGATGGTGGTATGAAAACCCAAATACTGGGGACTTTCCATTGGTATGGCCTCCAGATATGTTGAACTGACATTCTCCAACCTACCACTCAATTTATTTTATTTATTGTTTACTTATAGTACTTGTATACTACCCAATTCGGTCATGAAAGCTTACAGTTTAATCTAATAGTTTAAAGACCATATCTATTCTGTCTGGAAGTGTTCGCTGTCATGTAAATTTGCATGCACTAAAACCCACTTTGATATGATATAATTATATGCTGAGGATATTTAGTATGCTCTATGCAGTATTTTATCCTCTTTCTCCCAGTTTTCTGCCCCACTGCTCCAACAATTGATCAGCAATCTGTTTTACAATCATAGATCTATACTGGATCATTTAAAAATCTTTAACAATTTAAGTTTAACATTTTGCCTCTCTTAGGTATATATGAGACCTTGTTTTAGCTGGCTAAAAATCAGCTTTAGGAAAGTGTGTGTGTGGGGGGGGATTTAGAACTATTATAAATGCTGAATTCCAGCAAAGAAGAGTAGGATTGGATATGGTTTTGTAATGCAATCCTACTAATTAAAAATTATTCTTAGCAGTTAATTCAAGCAGAAGGCACATCCAACGGCACAATTCCAGGCACAGGAAGGAGGATGTGCTTTCCTCCTCTCCCTCCATTTCAGCTTGTTGATTGGACATGAGGCAGTAATGACAAACAGATCCCACTGAATAAGAGTTCAAGTATACAAACCTTTGTAGAAAGAATTGATAGGAGCCAGGACTGTCAAACGCTCATTCCCAGTAAGATGTGAACCGAGACCAACTTGTCTAAAAAGGTCAATAGATGTTGAAACATCGGATTCCTTCCCCAACTCCAGCAGAGTTTTAGCTTCAATTAAAATAACAACAACAGATGTCAAAATGGATTTCATCATTATTATACATATTAAAACAGTACCTGATGAAGGAGCAGAATGGCATTTGTTAAAACTAAAATATTAAGCGTGCTTAGTGAATTCAACAGGGCATTGGTTTTTTGTTTGTTTGTTTGTTTCTTTATTCAATTTCTATGACTTCTCCTCTCAATCAATGAGCCTGGGTATCTTATATTTCAGAAAATACTACATTACAATTAAAAATTCTAGAAAAATTTAAAGCACTAAAAATATCCNTAATAGTCTAGACAGATTTTTAGTTCAAACCAGAATTACACACACACACACACACACACACACACACACACAGACACACACACATGATTAATGGAGAATTCAGACACAGTTCAGCATCAAGAATTCCCAAGATAGAATGTTGTTTCTCAAAGGCTTATTTATACAGAAATGGGTGTTAATGACTGCTACTAACTGGCCAGAAACCTAATGTATACAAACTTAGAAGGGCAGTCTGAACACTTCAGTAGAAGTGTTTGCTTGATTTGGTGGATCAACTGCAAATTAATGAGCACAGAGCCTAAGGGAATAAATGACTAAAAAGAAATTGCTTGTCTTTAAGTTGATGTCAGCAGGGTTCCACATATTATGGAGAAATAAATCTGAGGGAAATATACACAAAATAGACAGTTGTAGCTCAACATTATTATTCTATACCATCTTTATGGGTCACTACTTAGCCTAGGTAAATACCTCTCTCATGAAAAACAGAGGTAGTAGAAAGGAAAATGTTGAGTTTGAAGAGCCTCATATGTGTGCAATAGCACTGAAAGCGTAGCAGATTTACTTATGACATCTAATTATTTATTCCACCACTGCTTGAACCTTTATCCTAGTTATATCACTGGCTGGATGAATAGTAACCAGAAGCCATTCCCAACATCTGCTTCTCCAAGTGGTATTATCTTGTGGTTAATAGTTTTATTAAGTTTGTTTCCTATGAAAGAAAAAAATAAACATGTCCTTTTAAACAGTAAGAACTGTCAGACGGGAGGGCTGCAAAGCACTATATACCGTAAGACTAAATAATATTGCGATTATTGTTCAGGTGCAGAATAAGCAGCCTGGAAAAAAAAAGACACTGCCTATCTCTATGCTAAGCTGCAATTAAAAACCAAGAAGGCTTTTGGATTCCTAGTTCTAGTTATGTTACACAGAGATAGAAGAGGAATTTTTATGGGCTAAGTTCTTAGCTTAGCTTCTATGGTAAGTCCCTTATGTCAAATTAAAAACTGAGTTTCACATATTTTGTTCCTAATGAAGGAACTGAAGAAGGATGTGATGGCACACATATTACATATTTGGGTCAGAATCAACTGGCTTCCTGCTCCATTTTCCTGTTTGGTTTTTCTGTTGGAATGGTACATGGGAATGACCTTAAGGGAAGAGAGGAAGTGATGTGTCCGAGGGAACAATCAGACAAGAGAGGGTGGATCCCACAGTTGCTTAATGGTCAGAGAAAAAAACATAGGAAGGACCCACCCTAATTGATCAGGCTAATAAGAGAAAGCAGGAAATCTGCAGTTTCAGACTTGCAAGATTCTGTTAATGTAGTTTTAGAATAAAATAAAAGTAGCTTAACTGATCATGTTTCCTTTCTGGTTTGCTTTGGCATATTGATACCTGCTTTCTTTCCCAGTTTGTAACTAAGCAATGATGTTCTGAATGCTGATTCTCCTGGCTTCCAATCTCCTGTATGCTTTAGTAATATATAACTCAGATCCAAGTGTTGTCTATGATTATCCTTATTAATGCAAAAGTTATTGACCAGCCCTCCTTTACCAAACACAAACTGGAGAAATTGGATGAAATAGAATACAGATAGTCATGGCAACTATCCTGTACATTGGAAGTATGGAATATTGTGTCCAGCAATTGTTTTAGACTTCAAGCCCATAATCTCTTGCTAATAGGCATACTGGCTAAAGCTGACACAAGTTGACATTCAAAACCTCTAGAAATTTCTTAATTGCTTACCTGCTACATTTCTCTCTCAAATCATTACTTTTTAAAGTCTCTTTTATAGTGACCTAGGAGTAAAGGTATTCTTGTTTGCATTCATATGGGATGGAATTCTTATAGACTTATGCCATTCCTGGTAAACTAAATCATTCTGTTACAGTCATGAGTAAAATAAAAAAAAATGTAAGGATGCTATCAGGGAAAATAATTCTTTGCTTCAACATCTATCTTTGAAAAACTATCTAATTAACTAAATAGAGTTCTTCTTTCACTGTACAGTTAATAAAATATTGTGATGTCACTTTAGTTGCCATTGCTCTTAAACCAACATCTTATCCAAACATATACTGACAGTTATACAACCTACTTCTCCATGCAGTCTAATTCCAAATCAAACATACATTCTAAAACTGGGAATAAAAATTACAAATTAATGATGTCAGTAGTCTATAAGGAAAATATGTATTACAGATGGCACTTTTCCCCAATGAGGTTGGCTAAAATGTACCTGAATACACCACCAGACTGCTGGAAATACAGACAAAATCAGGGAACATACTACCCAGGGGTGGGTTCCTGCCAGTTCTAATCTCTTCTATAGAAGAGGTTCCACAAATCTATAGTGCCGTTTAGAACCAGTTCCAGCTCCCTCCCCCCACCCATCCACANTCCAAACTACTCAAAATTTCCGCTACCGGTTCTCCAGAACCGGTCAGAACCTGCTGAATTTCACCCCGATAGAATTTATATTAATATAACTGGCTATATTATTAAGCCATCCAAAGTAGGAACGAAATAATCTTATCTTCATCCAGACTGGAGTTAAGTCCAGACTAAGTTAAGTCTCTGCCCAGCTATGTTTGCAAATTTACCAGATACTTACTCCGTTTGGGTAATGATGAATCTTGATGTCAATATTCTGGTACATTGAAGGGAGAGAAAGTCCGTGTCTTAGCTCATCAGTTAGGATTCGTTTATTCACCATGTGATATCGCAGAGCATTTAGCAGCTCAATATTGACATTGCTCACCAACGAATCCAACACTTCCTAAGATCAAGAAATCATATTAAAGAGCTGGCTGTTCTGAGCATCCTATCCCAGATCTGGGTCTATGTATTTTACGTGACAATTTCTATCTGCTTTCTGCCTGGTAGGTGGTGGAGAACTGTACTAGTTTCCCTAGAGTGGAAATTGAGAGCGTTGCCAGAAAAACAGCAGCTGCTATCGCAACATTTTCCTTAACAGAATTTTTCCTTACTTCTGCTTCCTTTTCAAACCCAATGCATTAAAGTACAACTACCCTAATTCCCAGTTATCATGGCTATTAACAGAATGATCTGGAGGCACTATGTTGAGGTGGCTTACCCTTGAGAAAAGAAATTTTGCCTTTCCAAGTAGGAAACCAAGCTAATGAAAAGGTACAGTAATAACTATATATTCAGCTCAATGCAACAATATCCACAGAATTCTGTTGCTTTCGTTAGATTGATGAAAGGACTGAATAGCAGCATTATGCCACAAGCTCTTTCATTTTGAAGCAGATGTGCAACATTGCAACAGGTGTAGGAAAGGGGATACCACAACACTGCTTTAATTAGTCTGAGGTCCTTGTCTCCCTGTAAAAGATACGGGGTCAAAATAAAGAAAAGGAACTGACTTTTGGATTGCCAATCTGATAGTCATCTCCTACATTCTAACAGTCTAACTTGTTTTTTTGGCTTTAATGAGCCTAGAGTGGATATAATTTGCAGCACATTCCGCCTAATGTCATATTTTTCAAAATATGTCAAGCATATATAATATTTCTGATAAAGACAAGACAAATGTTTCCTTTTACAAGCATAACTCTGGATCTACTAACTTCTTCACATTCTATTTATGCTTGATTCATAATGATTGGTTAAAACCAAGCTTAGTGATCTATCACATCAGGAATTCCACCCACATTGAGCAAAATATAGGTGCCCTAGACTTACAGCAGGCAATGACGCCCAGGCCTCATTGGTGGGGGCAAAGATTGTGTAGCTGCCAGGCCCTGTGATTTCAGCACTCAGGTTAGAGCTGGCAGAATAGATCTGAGTGGTGGTGGCTCCGACAACTCCAAGTGTCTCATAAAGATTGGCAAGTGGCAAAGCTGTTAAAAATAAAGGCATTTCTCTTTAATAAAGTCATAGTCAATTCAGAACAAAATCTTTTCTCCCGCCCACCCTCCCTGTCCCTCTCTCTTTCCCTTCCCCCTCCCTGACCGTTTCCTTCTCTCTCTCTCTCTCCTTCCCTCCCTCCCTCTCTCCTTTTTTCTCTTTCTATGGTGTGATCAAATCAGTATCGACTCCTGATGACCACCTAGACAAGTCATTGTGGTTTTTCTGACAAAATGTCAGAAGGGGCTTAGCACTGGCTTTGTGCCTAAGGTGGAACTAGAACTCCCAGTTTTTCTCTCATGCTTTAATTACTGTATTAAACTGGCTCTCTGATTAGGGTTAGAGTTATTTCTCAATTATAATAAAATAATTAAGCAATAAGGTGGTGCTGAGAGTTAGTGAGGCCAATTGAAATCAATGAGATAGATTAGACAGAATTATTTAAATCCTGTTCTTGGTTCTTGAAAAACAATTAAGTCTAAATCCAACCCACTGAATGGACACAATTTTTTCACATTACTAACTTAGACCTAGACCTAGAATTATCTTGATTGCTGTTTTAAATCTGAAGAAGACAGAAAAGAGAAACAAAAGTGGCAAATGGTATTTTGCGTGGACATGGGCACAATTGCGTAGGCATACTGTATCTGCTGTGCAGAAAGCCAGATAACCATTAAGAGGACAATACAGAAATCTCTCTTCTTCTATCTAGTGGTTATCTGGATTTTTGCGGACCAGATATTAAGTTAAAAATATTACTTTGTAGGTGGAGAAGCAGCGAGGGGAATGAGACTTCACTCTTTCTCATTCCATCATTTTCCTACAATTTTTTACTCTTTAGGCATCCATTTGCAACTGTAGACACATTTGAAATTCTACAGAAAACATGGGGTGGGAGGTGGGGAAGAGTAATTTATAGAAAGCAATTTGCAGGTTTCATTTTTTACACTCCAGGCAGCTCTTTTGTGCCATCAATGCAGAATTGAAGTTAAGAAACAAAGATAGATAGATAGATAGATAGATAGATAGATAGATAGATAGATAGATAGATAGATAGATAGATAGAT